CAGATTCCACAACCGAGGCCGAGTACATTGCCGCAAGTGAAGCTGCCAAGGAAGCCGTGTGGATGAAGAAATTCATACACAAATTGGGAGTGATTCCGTCCAGCACATCACCCATCCCGTTATTGTGTGACAACAATGGAGCGATCACCCAGGCTAAAGAGCCTCGGGCCCACTCGAGGTCCAAACACATCAAGAGGAAGTACCATGTACTATGGGAGATCGTTGGTAGAGAGGACGTCCTAATTCAGAAGGTAGCATCAGCGGACAATGTGGCAGACCCATTGACTAAGCCACTGACACAAAAGGTGTTTGAGAAACACGTGGAAAGTATGGGACTCCGACTTGTACCAGATTCGACCTAAGTGCAAGTGGGAGCTGTTAGACAGTTTTGTATGCCCTTAGCTTCAATCTGATTTGATGTACTTTTGACATTTAGTGTAAATAAATAAAGTGCATGTTTGATTCATGTTGTTTGGTATAATTTTGTGTAAGACCCTAAAACTAGACACTTATAGAGACTCGTGTTAGTTTTAAATGTTCACAGCCATTGGATAAGTCTGGGGAGATTTATCCTGCCAAGGCTGATACTGTTGTGTCGCCAAGTGTTGGGATGGCCTATCTCGGCCACCAGGGTAACACCCTAGGCACATGCCGTATGGGATTACTCGAATCCTTGAACCGGACCAGATTTCTAGTATTGCCCTGGACCTTGGAGACAGATGGGCAAAACTGGAAAGTTACACCCGACCCCTAGACTCGATTATGACACTTCACTAGGTGTCGGATCGGGCTGTCTTTGATATGCTAATCAGTGAGATCCTTAGCGGGGATCAAAACCTGGGTATGTTGGGACAGTCTGAGAATTCATCTGAGTGGGAATGTTGCAATAAGGTTTTTCTTGTGCTTGTGGTAAAGAGAGTGTAGGTTAAAGCGGTTGGATAGTAGGTTCATTACATGGCTCATTAGCTGGTGGCAAAAATTGGAATAGATCTTTGTTGATTGCTATGAGAGTGTAACCATTCTGTTGCATTGCATCCTTGGGTTTCTAGGTTGGCTTTGTTGCATGGTCTATTTCATGGAATGCAAGAAATGAAGATTTATACATGGTGGTTCTAAAAGGGAAGAAATGTTGTCATTAGTGACTTTGTTCGACGGTAGTTATGATTTAGTATGTCTTCTCTTTTATTAGCCCCCTTGTTTCTTGATAAAAGTCATTGTATCAAGAAACAAGTAAAGTAAATATCCGCTTACTTTTATGTTTAGCCCCCTGTATCTTGATAGAATGTCTCCTATTGAGAAACACTTGAGTGCAGTTTGCTAGATGTGCTATCTTTGCTATCCCGTTGTATGAGTGGGAGGGTGTTGAGTCATCATGGGTGCTGGGCAGAGTACCAGCCCCCCACTTTTTGATAAGTAGAGCGTCTAGGTAATGATTTAAATTTTTAGCCTCCCTTGTGGTTAGATGGAAAGCACTCTATCAAAAAAACATTCAAAAGAGGGACGGTTCAGTCCATTTTGCAACCCCACATTTAAATTCTTCTAGGGTCGAGTTGACCATGTTTCGTTGAGAGGTGTATATAGGAGCTTTAGGTGCATGGATACAGGCCAAAAGTTGTTGGAACACCCAAGTGGTTTCATAGCGCTATCAATTAGTATATGTTGCGAGGTCTAATGTGGTTGAGTTGTTGGTGGGTTCCCAACACTGGAAAAGGTTTGAAAATAGTTTTAAAGTATTAGGACTCTGCATTTTGGTGAGTGGAGTATCAAGTAGGGGAAAATATGGTGTAAAGGTATTAGGAAGCCCACCATTTAGGGTGGAGAATTTTGGAAGGAATATAATATTACTCTTGTGATGTGATTTGAGCATTTGTTGCAATATCGCAAATCATGATGCGTGTATGAAGTTTTATGTGGGATGTACAAATCACCTGGTCAATGTATTAAAACATTAATAAATAATAGAAAAGGGTGCCTCTTCTGTTGGTTTTGGCACGAGGTGTCAAAGTGTCGTATTGATATTCAATTACTTGGTTATAGTAGGCTTTTCGATCTACTGCATTGTTTTTGTCTGCGATGTGAATGAAATAAGGTGATATGATCGTATCTAGGACTAATCACTCAGAGCTTTGTTGTGATATCTTACCCTTAGGACTATCAGGGTTTTGTGAGGTCGCTTTTGGAGTTGCATAGGACCTTCTTGGGTTACCGGGTTATGAGATTGCGCTTAGGGGTGCTAGGTCAAGTCATGTAGAATCGCTCCTGGGGGTGCTAAGTCCTTCCTAGGGTTGCTAGGGTATGTAGGATCGCTCTTGGGGTTTCCAGGGCYTTCCTAGGGTTGCTAGGTTATGAGATCATGCTTGGGGTTGCCAAGGCCTTCATGGGGTTGCTAGGGTATATAGAATCGCCCTTAGGTTTGCTAGGGCCTTCCTAGGGTTACTAGGGTATGTGATCCCACTTACGGTTGCCAGGGTATGGAGAATCACTCTTGGGGTTGTCAAGGCCTTCTTGGGGTTAATAAGGTATGTGATTGCACTTGGTTGCCAAGGCCTTCCTGGGGTTGATAGGGTATGCAGAATCGCTCCTAGTTGCTAGGGTATGTTATGGCACTTGGGGTTGCCAAGGCCTTCATGGGGTTGCCAAGGTATGTGACACACTTGGGGTTGCCAAGGCTTTCCTGTGGTTTCGAGGGTATGCAGAATCGCTTTTGGGGCTGCCAAGGCCTTCCTGAGGTTGCCAGGGCATGTGATCACACTTGGGGTTGTCAGGGTATGTAGAATCACACCTGGGGTTGCTAGGGCCTTCTTGGGGTTTCTAGGGTATGTGATTGCACTTGGGGTTGTCAAGGCCTTCTTGGGGTTATCAGGTTATGTAGAATCGCTCCTGGGGTTGCCAAGGTATGTGATCACACTTGGGGTTGCCAAGGCCTTCCTAGGGTTGCCAGGGTATGTAGAATCGCTCCTGGGGGTTGTTAGGGCCTTCTTGGGGTTGCTAGGGTATGTGATCGCACTTGGGGTTGCCAAGGTATGTAGAATCATTCTTTGGGTTGCCTGGGTATTTGATCACACTTGGAGTTGCCAAGGCCTTCCTGGGGTTGCCAACGCTTATTACAACTAGGGTGTCAATCCGGTGGCGGTGTCTGGGTCTGCTTTCTCAAGCCTGTGGTGAATGGGCTATGTTGTTGATCAGGACTTCTATGTAATGTTGCAAGAAACATGTTAACGAACTACAAGGAATGTGATGAATGGGTAAACACTTGTTTAAAATTCCTAAATCAATTCAAAGTCATATCTTCACTGTAAAGTAAAAAAGACTATATTCGAAAACATTTCTTGACAAACAATAATGGAACATAATTTCGAAACCAAATATTAATATATTTTAGGAAGCGGTTTTGAAAGTATGTTTTTGAGAATAACTATTTGATTGGAAGTGCCATGATAAAAATGTGTTTTAGGAATGATTTTGAAAAAGGTTACTAAAAAAATCCAGAAATGATGACTCCTTTTTAAGTCTCTTTGTCTTGGCTATAAAATCAAAGGTGTATAGAAAAAAATAAATGGATAAATGCGCTTACAAATTATAAATGAAATTAAAAATAGCTAATGTCCCCAAAAGATAAGCACGACAAATTTAAAATATTTAAGTTATAGTTCAGAAGTAACCAAGCAAGATAAGTGGTAGGGAAAACGAAGATAACCGTGTAGTTGATAAGAAGGAATGGCACAAAAATCTTGACCAGACTAGTTTAGGACAAATTCAACTAGAACTACTATTATATAAGCCATAAAGCAGCCTAGAGGGACTTAGGATGTGGGACTTTTCTCTAAATAGCCTTATCCACCCAAGGGGAAAAGGTTCCGAGCGATGATGGTGGTTGTCTGGTGAGAGGAAGGGAAGGGGAGGGAAGTGGAGAGTGGAGACAAGGGAAAGGCAAATTAGAGGATGAAAATAGTCAAAATAAAATATGAAAAGAAAAACGAAATGCAAAGAAGGCGCTAATTGGGATTTGTTCCTCAGTCACATTACAAATACGAGAGATGTTTCCGATGTATAATTTAAACATACTATGAGATCGATATGAAGAGTGCTCTCGTGGAATTAGGATCTGCTCGTCACAGAACACACTTTATACCGACCACGGAGGCACATCCCCCCATCACTCCATGTATTGAAAATAATAATGTCGGTGTGAGGAGCAGATCCTGTCTCGCTCTCACGATACAAATATTTTTGTTTTCTAATTTCGTACAGTTAGTGGGACGTTATAATCTTATTGCCTAAAACACGTGTCATGTCACTTGTCGACAGCAAAAGCTTTCCCGGTCAACGGGCCCATCCTAAAAATTCTCACTTAGGCATATCAAGCATTTAGCCACGTGGCAATTTTCTTCTTGTTTAACTCTGATAGTCAACCGTTTAATGGTTGAGAATCATCATCAACAGTCTTAGTGCTGGGGATGGATATATAGTGGCGTATATTAATTAATTGAGCAATGATGGGGTGGTAGGACCTGGTCATCCGACTTTGTCGTGCCTTCGCCAACTGAATGCATTCGTTCGGCTCCATGGTTGTGTACAGAGCGAGGAAGGCACAGGACGGGAGAGGAGGTTCAGCAGAGGCTGCAGCAATACGTCGGTACCGGAAATATGGACGACGAGAGAACGTTCTTGGCTGGTTTGCAGGAAGGCAGCATGTTTGCTTGCCATCGAGTTGGCTGGATCGATTCAAAGGGTGGTCTCTGGAGGTGGATACTGTATCATGAACCTTTCAGTTCATATTTGGCTTACTCGGTACCTCTCGTGGCAATGCAGACATCACTCGTCCTTGTTGTTCAGCAAATCATCAGTTTCCTACTCAAGCCTTTCCAACAGCCAACCATTGTACCACAAATCCTAGTAATCCCCCTCCTCTCTCTCTCTACAAAAAATATAATGTTATAAATAAGTTAATGAACACCTTTTCACTCTACCTTTTATGATATAGGGAATAAAATTGGAGGAGAATGATAGAAAAGATCAGTAGCATCATGATTAAAACCATGACGAAATTTAAAGCGGGTAGGTTAAAAGTATTTTGATTGTGTTGGTACATGGTGTTGTTCCTGTTTTGATTTCGCAATTTGATTTTAAACATATTTTATTGGAGTTTAGATTAACGTGCACCCCAAACGCGTCCCACGTGCACATCTCACGGTGCATTGGAAACATCTCCATACTTTTGTCATGAGAAGATGTTCCCAATACACGATTCACGATTGGGATGTGTATTCATTTTATTGGCCCATATATAACATGTCACCTTACTTGCATCTAGAGGTGCAATTTGGGTGAAGTGACATTTTATACCTTGAGATCAAGTAGATGAAGTGACATCGTGGTAGGGTCACACCAATGCATCTAGGGGTGCAATTTGGGTGGGCCCAACCTGAGTTCGAACCAGCCCAGCCCAAGAAATCGATTTTTTTTATTTTTTGGGTCGGGCCCAGGCCTAACCCTTAGGTAGCCCGAATCCGGTCCAGCACAGCTCAACTACACACATACACGTGTGTGTGTGACAATTTTAGATGATGAAGATAGTAATATACATTTAAATATTATTTCCCAAAGATAGTAATATTATATCTATAAAATAATTCTATATTAGAGATGTCCCAAATGTTTTCTACAAATATTATGTACTTTTTTGTATATTTTGTGTTTTTGCCTTTTTTAATTTTTATTATTTAATTATGACATAATGGCTTGACCCATTTGACTTAGATGGTTTAATTGCTTACCTGCCACCTAGACAAAAGGACAATTTCATTTTTTTTGTTCAATGTTGAAAAAATTGAGTTTTAGGGTCCATTTGGTTTGCAAACATGACCAAAAGTAATTTTATTAGTCTATTTATAATTTTCTTATTACTTTATTAATATTTTGTGAATATATAATTATTATTTTATTAGCACTTTGTTATTATTGTTTTATTAGTATTTAAAAATTAATACCTAAGTATTTATTATTAATTTATTAATTCATTATATTTTATTATTACTTTTCATTAATTTTTATTACTTTCATTATTGTTCTATAATTAATTTATTATTATTGAATAATTAATATGTCAGCATTTCACCATTAGTTTAATTGTAATATATATATATATATATATATATATATAGATATATATTTGTACTTAATTACTCTTATTATTTAATAAATATTATTTTATTAATAATTTATTATATTATTATATTTTATTCTTACTTTCTTATTAGTTTATTGATATTTTATTACAGTCAAGGTTCAAAGGTTCAAATATTTTATAAATACTTTACTAATATTTTATTATTATTATTATCTTATTATTACTTTCATAACATTTTTTTGTTTAATTATGAATGTATTATTATTATTATTATTACATTAATATTTTATTATTATTATATTTAATAATTAATATCATTGTTCTAATTAATATTTTATTTTAGTACTATTCTTTTATTTCTATTTTACTATTATTGTATTATTTTATTGTTAATATATTATTATTATTTTTTATTTCTATTAACTTGTATTAATTTATTATTTCTTATCATTAGGGTTTATGGGGCTTTTTGTCATGAGTTCTTTATTTCTTGATAGACTTTCTTATGGGAATMCCATTCCATAGGGGGTAGGGGGAGTCTGGAATGGCCATTCCCCCAAGAATGGGAATCTGCATCATATTTCACCATATAGGCGTTAGCACCTTAAATATATGACTTAATGAGAGGGATTTGAATGGGGTGAAAAATAATAGTTCAAATTACATGTTTTGCCCTCACTATTTGAAAGGAACTAAATTCAAATTACATTTTTTATATTTTCATATGTATAAAAGTAATTCTTATTTATCGCACTTGTTTTTATTTTATAAGATGAATATACAATACTAGAGATGCACCCAAATGTTTTTTTTTTTTTTTTTTTGCAAAATTTATGTATTTTTTCATTTTTCATTTTTATTATTTAATTATACATCAAATATTGACACATTTGACCTAAAAGTTGAATTGTTGACCCAAACCAAATAGGAAATCAATTTCATTTGGTTGGTTTTAAATTTGTATTTCATTTCCATTATCAATAAAAACAATTCTTGTTTATGACACTTATTTTTTCTTTAATATGATTAATATAAAATATCAAAGAAATGGCCCATTTTTTCTATATTTTTTTATTTTGTGAATTTGTTACTATTTTAAATATTTTATTATTAATTATGATATCATGGATTCACCCAATTAATCAGGATGGTTGAATTGGCTTATCCACCACCACTTGGATGGAAGAATAATTTTGTTTTTTTTTTTGTTAATTTTAAATGAAGGTTAAATTACTAAAACCTTCCTTGAAGTTTCTGATCATTGTTGAAGTCTCCCCTAAAGTTTGGTAATTGCAATCGCTTCCCTTGAACTTTCTAATATATTTGCAAATAGACCCCTCTCTTAGAATCCTCTAACAAGAGGCACACAAATGTCCAAAATACCCATGCAGTTACTATTGAGGTTGGGTTTTGCATAACAAACAATACAAACTTTATGAACAACAATAACAAAAAAAAAGAAGCTTAAATTGCATCTTTGAGGGATTCATATGAAGGGAAATTTATAAAATAAATCAATTTCAGAGAAGAGATTGGAAGGGTTTGGGGTAGTGATTGATATGAAGGGAAAATTTGGAAAATAAGCATTTTAGTCAAATTAACTACATGGTTATTTTGGACATTTTCATGCCTCTTGWTTTTGAGGATTATAAGAGAAGGGGTCTACTTGCAACTGTGTTACAAAGTTTAGAAGAGGTGATTGCAATTACCAAACTTTAAAGGGGGTTTTAGTAATGGTCAGAAACTTCATGGGAGGTTTTAGAATTTTACCCCTTCAAAAACATGGATTTCATATTGTTAAAAAATATTTGATAAAGCGCTAATTATTATAATTTATTAAATAAAAAGGACCTTAAATACAAGATTTAATGTGAGAGAATGTGAGTTAATACCTTAAATATAATACGTAATGAGAGGGAATTAAATGATGTGAAAAATTGTAAATGATATTATATTATTAACCCTCAAAATTAAAGAGGGACTTAATTCAAAAATAGGTCAAATGTATGATGTTAAAAATGTTTCCAATTTTTCTTTAATTTCTATTTTTTTATTTTATCTATTTTTGAATTTTTATTGTTTATTTGTGGCAACATGAGTTACCCCATTTAACCTAAAATGGTTTAATGTCTTACCATTGCCTAGATGAAAACACTATTTTTCCATTTGAATTTTAAAAGTATAAGTTTTTATGTTATTGAAATTATTAATTTATTATGTATGGATTTAATTAGTAGAATTTAGTGATGAGAATAAATAAAAATGCTTTAAATATACAATTCAATGAGGGTGAATGGGAGTCAATACCTTCAAAGTGGGTATTTGCATCAATCAAATTACAGTGGGTTGAGCTCGGATTGGAAAAATCAGGCTTAACCTTGGGCTCGGCCTGGGCTCAGGCCTTAAGCCCATATTTTAGAATTGGACCGGGGTTGACCATAAACCCGACCCAACCCGCCCGACTTGCATCGCTAAATGCATCTAAGGCCCTTATTCATGCTTTTTAACATTGGTAAAACCATGTGTAGAAAAAGTGATCTCTAAAAATGTGTAGGGAGAATATCGAAAAGATATATCTAGCTTTTATTTATATTTTTGAAAGACATCTTTTATTGGGTTGGCATTTCCCACTTCAGTACTAAGGCCATGATTCGTGCTTTTAACTATTGTGCAGTATGCTTTATGTCAAAACATCTCACTTTCTAGATTTCCAATGCCATGAATTAAGTTAAAACGTTGGATCTTAAAACACCATTGAATCATCCTCGAAAGAAACAAAAAAAACACCATGGAACCAAACCTTTCTTTTATTTTAGAGCATGGCTATCTCTTAGCATTTATGAATTCGTTATTTAAATGAGCATATCCACATATAGATGACAACTTGGCAAGACAATGATTTTAAAAGAAAAAGAAAAAAAAAGTTGGTGTATGTTTTCATAGATTATTTTTATGGCCAGGCCAGGCTTGAAGAAATTGATCAAGCACAAGGCTACCATGGACATGTTTTCATGGGGCATGGAATTTTCACCCATTTCTAATTGACTAATACCAGTCTGTGTACAGGATAGGGGGATGTATATGCCAGCCAGTAGCCATGGCCAAATTTGTTAAAATCTATGTGCTAGTCAGTGTTATTCTTTTTTATATACAAGGAGAAGGAGGCCTTAAAAATGTTCAACAATTTTTTTAGGGAAAATTCCCGATTAGTATCTGTATTTTAGGCCTAGTGCCAATTTGGTTCTTGAACTTTAAAATGCGATAATTCAGTACTCAAACTTTCAAAACATGACAATCCAGTACTTGTTGTTAAGTAGTTGTTAACCGGCCGTTAAGTGGTATTTGAAAAAGATACAAATGCCATTCGAGTGTCATCTAATTTTTTTTATCAACCATCTAAACATTGACAAAAAATTAACAGTCTCAAATCCTTGCCTCTTTTATTCAAGAAAGTTATTCGGGTCACCAGAATGCCCACTCAAACGTGACTCCAAATTTCTTGAATAAAAAAGGCAAAGATTTGAGACTGTTAATTTTTTGTCAACGTTTATATGGTTGATAAAGAAAATTAGATGGCACTTAAAGGGCATTTGTGTCTTTTTCAAATGCCATTTAACGACTGATTAACAGCTAGTTAACAACAAATACTGGATTCTCACGTTTTAAAAGTTTGAGTACTGAATTGTCGCATTTTAAAGTTTGGGGATCAATGTGGCACTAGGCCCAAAATACAGGATACTAGGGCTGTTCACGGGTCGGGTTGGATCGGTTTACTGAGGTTTTTCCAACCGACCCGACCTGGTCGGGTTACCTGAGATGGAAACCAAAACCGACCCAGTGTTAAGTAAAACCGACCTGGTCGGTTTGAGTCGGGTTGGGTCGATTTGGGTCGGTTTTGGCTCCAAGTTCATCCATGCCCCCCATGGCCCATGTGCCTGTGTGGTGCAAGTTTGGGTTGTCAGATATTTCAGTTTTTATGTAAAACTGAAATATATTTATTTAACATTTTTAAATATAAAATATATTTAAATTAAAATCAAAATATATATTTAAATAGATTATATTTAAATAGTTAAGTAGGAACTAAGTCGGTTCGGTTTCGGTTTTCACACAAAAAAACCGAAACCGACCCGAACCATCGGTTTATAAATTTATACAAACCAAAGCCGACCGGGACTGATGAAAACCCGGCCGACTCGGGTTGGGTCAGTCCGAATTGGTCAATTTGGTAGGGTTGGGCCTTCTTATGAATAGCCCTATCTTACTAGGGCAATGCAAGGGAAGTTTGTAATGCTACTGACAACTTTAATTGGTGATCTATCTTACTAGGGAGGCATAGTTTTGGGTCCCTCCGGCATTGGTCAATTCACCAAGGACACAGATCTGTTCCCTCCTGGACGTTCACTTCCACTTGCTACCTTTGGATCATTAGGTTTCATTTTATTTGCATTCATTATCGGGGTTAAAATGGATCCATCAATGTTCAAGGTAACAGGAAAAATGGCCATGATCATAGGCCTTTTATCCCTTATAGTTCCTTCAATTTTGGGCATATGCAGTGTTGTCGTCATGAGATATGTTTTGGAGCTGGACCCTGTCGTAGGACAAATGCTCTACTTTGCAGCAGCAGCAGAGTCATTGACATCATTTCCTGTTATTGCTTGCCTCCTCACTGAGATGAAGATCCTCAATTCAGAGCTTGGTCGTCTCGCCCTTTCTTCTGCATTGGTCAGTGATCTAACCAAAACGTGCATCTCAACATTCGCCATCAACATTAAGATAGGAGAAGGACACATAGAGAAATCAATACACGCCTTCACATTATGTATTGCCTTTCTTTTACTTATTATATATATTGTCCGTCCAGCACTGTTTTGGGTAGCCAGAAAGACACCAGAAGGGAAACCTGTGAAAGAGGGCTACATCCATCTCATCCTTCTAGGAGTTGTTGTTTCTTCTTTCTTGAGTATGATGCTGGGACTAAATTTTCTTTTTGGACCATTCATTCTCGGCTTGGCTACTCCAGACGGGCCTCCCTTAGGGTCGACCTTGGTCAGAAGGTTCGAGTTTATTTCTTCAATGTTTCTCCTGCCAATCTACTTAACTTATAGTGGCTTGCGGACAAATTTGCTTAGCATCAAAACTCCAAACATCGTGACGGCATTTGTGACCATTGTCTTCATTTCCGCTATGGGGAAGACTTCAGCAATCATGCTTCCTTGTTTGTATAGCAAGATGCCCTTCAGTGACTCTTTATCACTTGCCTTTATCTTGAATGCCAAAGGCGTAATTGAGATGGCACTAAACATTATTCTATTGGACAATCAGGTATGTCATCAAACATACTAATTAAATTCAAGATCAACACACAACCACCACAACTGCACTTTTCTTGTGCTAGCAATAGCAAGTTATAGAATAACAAATTAATTGTAAGCCCATGCCAGGCTCCCTCGACATCCTTATTGAAACTATACTAATCCAAATATCTAGAGGTGGCAACGAGTCGAGTTTTTCATGAGCTATTCGAACTTGACTCGGTTTAAATCAAGATTCAAGCTGAGCTCAAGCCCAATTTACAGGCTCGTTTGCTAATCGAGCCAAATAAAACTTGGTTCATGAGGCTCGCGAGCCTAATCAAGCTTCTACATATATGTATATATACATAAATAAATAAATAAATAAATAAATATATAATATTTTTATTTTTATATGTAATAATGACTAATTATTTTATTAATTTTTAAAATATCAAATAAAAAATAATTTTTTACTTTTATAAAGCATTTCACTCACATTCAAGCTCGACAGAGCTCGAACTTATGAGCTTTTAACTCAAGCCAAACTCAAACTCAACTCTCTAGTTCAAACCGAACTCAAGCCTCATATTGTCTTGGCGAGCCGAGCTCTCGAGTAGCTAGCTATTTGACTCGGCTTGGCTCAAATCCACCCCTACAAATATCTGATCAAGCAAGCAAGCGCACATGGCAGAAAGTTTTAACTACTAGATAATACTACTAAACATAGATTCTCTGACCTTGTTTCTAATTGAATTAATGCAGAACATAAATGATGAGATCTTTGCAATGATGGTCATGTCAGTGTTGTTGTCAGCAGTCATAGTGTGCCCAGTTGTGAATGCTCTCTATGACCCCTCAAGGAAATATGCAGGCTACAAGTACAAGACTATTTTAAACTCCAACCTGAGTTGTGGAATTCGTATACTAGTTTGTATCAAGGAAGAAGAAAATGTGCACACCATCATCAAGCTCCTGAAATTTTCACCACCATCTAAAGAAAGCCCCGTCTGCATTTTTGTGCTCCATCTGATCGAGCTTGTTGGTCGAGCTGCGCCTATCCTTATTACACACGAAATGCATCAAAAGTCATCCAACAACTATTCCAAATACATCATAAATGCCTTTAAGCACTATGAGGAAGAAAATAGAGATGCTGTCTTATTACAAGTATTTACCTCTATCTCTCCTGCTGAAAGCATGGACAATGACATATACACACTTGCACTTGAGAAGGGGGTGTCCCTCATAATCATCCCCTTCCTAAAACAGTCGGTTTCCATTGGACAAACGGAATCAGAAAAGGTTATACCGAGGTCTTTGAACAACATGGTCCTTGAGAAAGCTCCATGCTCTGTAGCAATGGTTGTTGATCGTTGGTATGATGAAGGCTCCGTTTATAAGACATTGACAAAGAGTACATACAATGTGGCTGTTCTCTTCATGGGAGGTGCTGATGATCGAGAGGCATTGGCATGTTCCATTCGAATGGCCGGAAACCCAAGCATCAACCTCACTGTAGTTCGATTAAATGAGACAGATGGCATGGATTTCAATTTCAATGAGGAGGAAAGAATGTTTGATGAGGTGGTGTTGGACGGATTTTGTATTGGTGACAGAAAAGATATAGAGTATATAGAAGAGGAGGTGAGAGATGGAACCCAAACAACCAAATTGGTTTTATCAATACAGGAGAACTATGACCTTATAATTGTAGGTAGACAGCAAAGGATGGAATCATCAGTTTTGGCTGGGCTTACAGAATGGAGTGAATACAAAGAGCTTGGAATCCTTGGAGACTTGCTTGCCTCATCAGAGAATCGCAATAGAGCTTCAGTGTTGGTGATTCAACAACACAAGACAAGAAGTTCCTCCAAGAAGGAAGTTATTCTTAGCTAGGTAGATATAGCTTATGCTAGATCACTAAGCCTATCCCATGGGAGAAAGACATTGACATTTTTTTTCCTGTAAGCAACCAAATTGTGAAACCAGCAATATACAAGCACTGTAAAACCTCTTTCTTTGGGAACCAAGCTGAATGGTTATCTGGCTCAGGGCTCTCCTACATGAGCCTCCACCTTCAATTCCCCTCTTTTTACATAATCTCAGTGCCATCAAGATTGCATCCTAACTTGTTTTTCATGAATGCACAAAACACATAGAAGTTGAGTGCCATTTTATTTGTGACGTCCTCCTTGCTAGCATTGTCTCTCTTCCACATGTGTCTTGTGGACTCCAACTTGCTGACTTGTTGATGAAAGCTACGACTCAAGCCCGAGAAGCTGAGGCATATTTCTTGTGAACAAACTGATGCTCATTCCTAGGCACCAGTTTGAAGGGGTGTAGAGTTCAACTTGCCCACTTAGTGTTGACCATCTAGCATAAGCTATATCTACCTACCTATAGAAGTTCCTCAACAGGAACGTCTATAGCTAAGTAGATATAGCTTATATGCTAGATGGTTAACACTAAGCCTATCCCTTGTGAGAAAGACAATGACATTTTTTTTTCCTAGAAGCAACTAAATTGTGAAACCAACAATATAATAAAAGCATTGTAAAACCTCTTTCTTTGGGAACCAAGCTGAATGGTTATACTTATATATAGAAAACAGCTGACGGCTTCAAAGTTGGACCGAGCATGATTCTTAGCTACAAATTCAAACTACAAAGTTGTAGATGAAAGAAGGAAAGAGAGAAAGAAGAATACAAATACAAAATATTATCTACAAAAGGCATAAAAGTCCTTTCAATGTTCAGATATTGACTTAAATATCATGAACATTCCTTTTGTGTCCTATAGTAAATAGTTACAATACATTCTTGATGTTGGGCTTCACTGACAACCTTTATCCATTTACAATGGTTCAAGATGTAGGTACATGGTGGTCACTTAGACCATCAGAGCACAAAAGGTGCTAAACCTGTACAGCATAAATGTTTGCGATGAGTTCATAACCCGATACATATTTGCGATAAACTCATAACCCGAAACAGGCTACGATGAGCTTTAGACCCATGCGGGGTTGCGATGAGTTTAAAGCCATCGCAGAACCGCGATGAACACAAACTTATTGCAGAACGAAAGCGAATAAAAGAAGCACGTGTGTCATTAATAATATGCACTACGCGATTCTGTGTGGGCCTAACAAGGTTGTGTGATCTAAATAGAGACATCACTCATACCACGTCGGTTTAAAAGGGCCACGAAAAGAAGTAGCACGTGTGTATTATGAGAATCCTCAGACGAAAGGAAAGTTTGTCCTTCAAATATCTCATAAGACACATGGGGAAACCCTAGCAATGTTCCCTGATAACTGACACCAAATCCAAGATTCCCTTTCCTAGTGGGAATCAAACACTTTTGGCTCCTTCCTTTCAGGACCTCAAGATCTCTCCCTATAAATAGGGGTCCATCTCATAAAGAAACCATCATTCTATCACTTTATTTTCCCTAGCTTTTAGCCTACCTCCAGCTCTCGGCTTTCCTTTGTCCTTCAAGGAGACCCCTGTGCGTAGCTAACCACCTTACTCACATTAGAATCTCTAGTTATTCCTTGATCATAAAGGATGGCCACACGTAGGAGTAACCTTTCCCCCATCCCAGAAGAACACGACAACAACCAAGAGAACATCAACCCAGAGGTTGAAGATCAGTTTGGTATGGAGTCGACYGAGCAGGTTGACATCGAAATGCTCTCGAACAAGGTTACGAGTTTGAGTCCCGTTTCGAACGCATGGAGTAGATGCAACAGGAGATGAGAGCCACTCTATAGCTTCTCCTCTAGCAATTGGCCAGGACTGAACAATCCCCTTTTACCCCAGCCGCTCTTCCTGCATCCATCCTCACCAGTCACCAGTCTGCCAATCAGAATCCTACTGTGCCTGAACAACCCGCCAAGACCAATCCTACACCTACACAAACAAACCAACCCACCGTTAAACAACCTTAGGTCATTCCTCAGACCAACCCGATGATAGAGGCACCACTTAGTTGCAATGAACTGAAGGAATACGCTCAAGGGCTAATGGTGGAGAATCAGAACAAAGCCTAGGCCTCACTCATCTTACAAAAACCCTACTCTGACCAAATCATTTACAAATGCTTACCCCACCGGTTACGTCCCTCCCCAATAGTGGCCATAGTATGACAGACAGAAGGGAAACCCACAAGAGCATGTAAACAAGTTTGAGGATGTTTTGGAATCTTTTGCCCTCGATGGAGATCTGAAAGTTAGGGAGTTCTCCAAATCTTTAACCGATCCGGCCTACACCTGGATCATCAACCTAACCGCGGGTAGCATTGACTCGTGGGCAGAATTGGCGAAGTGGTTCCTATCAAAGTGGTTTACCCTAGATCGGAGACTGACGATGGCAGACCTGTGCAACACAGAGCAACGCGCAGGGGAAGATCTCTTGGCTTAAGTTGTGGGACTTCAGAAGTTCACCCACTCAGTTTTTGACAAGCATGTCACTGAGAAGAGCTTTGTCAGACAATACGTGCAAGGCATGCAGCCCTCCTATAGGATAGACATAGAAAATGTAGAAGTTGAAACTTTTAGCCAGTTGTGGAAGTGCGCGGAGAGGATGGTGCACACTATCAAAAGCACTTTGTCCTAGTCTACATCAGCCTTAGGACAATATGGGAAGAATGAGGCCTATGCTGTCAATAGAAAGCCTCACAATATAGGAGGGCCTAGGCAGGGGCCCTATTATCGCAATAACATCCAAGGCAAAAAAAATAATGCACCGGTCCCTCCTCCTTTTGCCTGCACCAAAGAGGAGGTGATCATGATCATGAACAGGCTCGTGGAAGACCATGTCATTAATTTGCTGCCACCAACGTTAGGGATCAACCCAAAGAAGGATAGGCACGGAGGAAGGTGGTGTAATTTTCACCAGTCGTCGCACCACGACTTGATGGACTGTTTTTCTCTAAGGTGGCTGTTTGTACAAAAGGTAAAGCTTGATGATTTTGTGAAAGGGAAACTGTGCACACCCAGGGAGGAAGCATCAACATAGTCAGATCACTGGGCCAAGACCACCAAACATGTTGATTCAGAGGTTTGAATAGCACCCGGAACTACAATAATTCTTCAGTAAGCAGAGAGCCAGTGCCTCGAAAAGGAGGCTCTCCATTAGGGCACTAGAAGAGACATTTATAAGGCTGTTGGAGCCCCACCGATCTGACAGGACAAATGTGGAGTTCACTCAAGATGACATGCTGACCACCGACCCTTACATATCACAACAAAGATAGGGGGCTTTGAGATGAGGCGATCCATGGTTGATCCAAGCAGCTCTGTGAATCTGATATCCATCCACACCTTGAAGTTGATGAGCATCCAGAAGGAGACAATCAAGGGGTTACCTATGGAAGTGACGGACTTCAATGGTAACACATCTATCACGGAAGAATCCATTAAGCTACTGGTTGCGATAGGGTCGTTCACTATCACCCAATAATTCCAGGTGATCTCGAGGACTGTATACCATGCCCAGCTAGGACACCCATTGATACATGGGTTGGCCTTAGTCCCTTCAACATGCCATCAATGCATTAAGGAGAAACATAGGGTACGTGTGGTGAGGATCCCGGTGACTCGTGTCCCTTTTGATAAATCAAAGGCTCATCTATAGGATGTGATCTACTACACCGAATTGGATGATGAGGGTAAAATGAGGGTAGCCAACGTAGAAGGTGTGCATCTGCCAAACCCTGCGAATGAACCCCTTGCCTACCGGAGAGGAAGAACAGGACGAGGTGCGTATGAGTGACTAACATTGACGGGAAGAGTTACTACACCATCATAGAGGAGTACGAGGACGATGATGCACCAGCCACTAAGAAAGCCATCCTGAATGTATGACTTTACGATTAATGTTTGTTACATATCATGAAATGATCACTGTAGTCTATACCACCATCGCTAAAATTGAAATAACCAATATCCCTGATATTTTCCATATATACATCATCAAAAATTTGCTATATTGCAATCATTGAATTCAAGTCAATCATTGTATGTGCATCTTTTGTTCAAATCAGAATTGCCATATACTCATCGCTTGAACCAAAATATCATTGCGCATATAATATTCATATATCTCCATCATTGTATGCATGCACCAYGAATGGAATGGTAACTACACTCTCCAATATGTATATATCCATGCGCTCATCTCAAGTGATGTTTGTGTAATTATTTTGCCACACCATCTTTGCAAATAGACATCATGATGATCTCATCACAGAAGGACATTGAACAATCCAAACAAAGTTTACTAGAATCAAAGGTATGACACACTAAAAAAAATACACACAATTAATAACATAGCCAAGGATACTAAAATCTACCCGAAATAATAGAGACAAAAGGAGGAGACTGTAAAGTACTATGATAAGGTCCACACACCTCCCAAATATATGCAAGATTTCATCGATGCGGTGGAAGAACTGTTAGAATAAATAAACATGGCCATAGAAGGAGTAGAGAAAAGGCCATTATACATCTCAACCAAACTAGGATCTGAGAAGAAATAGAAGTTACTCGACCTACTAAAAGGTAAAAGAAACATTTCCACAACACAAACATTAGGATTTCGTTAGAAATAAAACTAATATGTGTTTTCTTTCACAGAATTCCGACATGTCTTCGCTTGGTTATACGACCAGATGTCAGGCTTGGACTTGGCCCTCATCAAACACTCTTTGTGCATAGATCCAAAATTCAAACCAGTGAAACAACCACAGAGGATCTCCAAGTCGGAAATAGCTCTGAAAATCAAGGAAGAGGTCAAACTCTAAGAAAACATTTAGCTTTGGTTATTAGAACAAAATTAGCGCACTAAGTTCTCCCACCCCTACCTTAGGTGTTGTGTCAATTTCAGAGCTTTAAA